ATATACATGCAAATGTAAATATTTTATAAAGACAAAACACGCACACATATGTATACATACGTATACATACATATATATATATATATATATATATATATATATATATATATATATATATATATATATATATATGCATACACACATACACCGCATACACACACGAGCGCGCCTACACACGCACTAACACAAAATCTATATGTATAGGTTTATCTTGATTTCTGTCATTATTCTTACACACACACACACACACACACACACACACACACACACACACACACACACACACACACACACACACACACACACACACACATTATTATACATTTTACTAGTTTGTGACTAATGGGAGGGATAATTCCGAGGAGGATATAAATGCAGGGAGAAAAGATGAAATGAAATGGAAGAAATGGATAAAGTCACCGTCTTCTTATATATATATATATATATATATATATATATATATATATATATATACACGCACCCCTACACTCATATATGTATAAATAAATGTGGACACTGAGATCAACATCGAGCAGTTACAGTTTATTTCATGCTTGAACGCAATCTTTAGGCCTGATGATTGCACTCAAACATAAAACAATCACCACTTTGTGTTGTCCTCACTGTCCACTTTTTATATTTACTTATGCTTGATATTGACTATTTTTATCCATAAATATACCATACCGTAAAACTGTATTTTTACCACACACACACACACACACACACACACACACACACACACACACACACACACACACACACACACACACACACACACACCTATATATATATTTATTTATTTATATATGAACGCATTTGGTACATTTCGATAGCAATTTTCTACGGTTCGAACTTTTTGAGGTTTCTGCGGAAAATATGAACAGTTATATCCTTTTACTTCAAATTCTCCATGAAGGCCAGTAATGTGATCAAAACGGCAGATATATTAGTTGTGTGTGTGTATGTGTATATATATATATATATATATATATATATATATATATATATATATATATATATATATATATATATATATATATATACATATGCAAATCTTATATCTTATATTCTTATATACATGAACATAATCTATAATTTTAATACATACAACACGTTTAAATACATGCAGATATAATACTTGTCCACACACATATAGTTCATTATATATATGCATATAGAGACAATCAGACATTATATTTTATTTATAACACACATACTTAGATATACATGTTCAAACATGAAGATATTTTATTATATAAAAGTTAAATAGGTGCATATGTACGTGTACATTTGGGTGAAAATTTAAATATATACGCTTAACAAAAGAATATATAGTTGTATATACATACAGATCTATATATAAAAAAAATTCTATACATATATATATAGTTCTTAATAGACGTAGGTATGTTACATGCATTACATATGTTTGCATGCAAGTATGTATTAATTTGCTATTACATGTATTTTTGTATATACTTAAAATATACAGCTATAGATAAATACATACAAATTTTATACATATATATATATATATATATATATATAAAAGATTTATGTATTTATCTATAGCTATATATTTTATATTTATTATACTTAAAATATACAGCTATAGATAAATGCATACAAATTTATATATATATATATATATATATAAATATATATATGTGTGTATATATATATATATATATATATATATATATATATATATATATATATATATATATTTTTTATTATTTATCTGTAGCTGTATATTGTAAGTATATATAAAAATACATGTAACAGCAAATTAATCTATATTGCGCACATAAAATAAATACTTCTGTAAAGACATATTTGAATGTGTAAGTAGGTTTTCGTATATATATATCCATTACACACACACACATACTCACATATATATATATATATATATATAAATTCATACGATTAAATTAAATTAATTATTTAAACGTGTATATACGTTATTATACACACACATATTTATACATCATATAGATATGCTCCCTTACCAATACACAGACAAATGCATTTATATTTTAGCATTCGATTTTACATTGCACTTAATTTTTTTTTGATTTCTACAATCACACACACACACACACACACACACACACACACACACACACACACACACACACACACACACACACACACAAAAGACTCATATCTTTCAGAAGTGGCTGCTCCTTTAACTTAATTTCTTCTTATTTCCTTGAAGAACAAGTGAATAAATGTAATTCTCAGCCTCTGAGCCCAACACTCTGCAAAACGACAATTAGTACTTCCTTTACTATTAGAGAAATCCCTGTAAAAGACAAATTGACCGAAATTCAGTGTTCGGGGTTGAGACGCCGAAAACAGGGTGTTGAAAAATGCCCTCCACACACTCAAATATTTGAAATGTGCGCCTCGTACGCATGCGCATAAAATACAAATCGACAATTAGTTTGATCAGAAAATAGCTTGTAGCCCCACTTCAATAACTCATACTACC